AACGGCATTGTACCAATTTACCAATTAAAGGAACTATAAAAGGAGTGATAGCGCCCAACGAAAGAATGAAACCTGAAATTTTGTATATTGCTATAGCAGGACTCGCTGGAACAATAGTGGCTAGAAATCGTATGTTGTGTGAAGCTATTGATATTCTTGTCAATATCATAGACTCATTTTAAAAATATTTTAGGAAATATTCTATTTCGAATCGCCAGTCCATTATTGTTCACCGTCGCAGCTTCGTATTACTTTATCCCTCAGACAACACGCAATATCGCAGCCAAAATCCAGGAACATGAACATGTTGCTAAAATATACGAGTCTGTATCAAATACAGCAAAAGAGTCAAGATCTAAAGCTAATTTGGCCATCACTGATTTGAAGGGCGATCAATCAAAGAAGAAAAGTGATTAATTGTAGAATTTCCATTAGCAAATACACGACTGAACTGTTTGCCGGCGTTGTGGATAATCCTTATTTATTCAATTATTGCGAAATCATTATCCACAATTTTATTTTGTGTTTAGTAGCTACATTGCATTAAGTTTTTTATTTGATTCCTAATATCAATTTAAATAGGATAAGTTTCGGATGTAATGTTTCTAGTTGTTAGTTATTACATGGTAGTAAAACTTGAATTACGAGAAAGATGAAATCTATTTATGATTCAAGGTGTGGTTTACAATTTTCTGGATTTTAAATCTAAAGATGCACAAAATTACATAATAAGCTAGTGATGAGTTAAAATAATAATTTTTATTATTTTCTATATTTTCTTTTTTCAATTTTCATCCAAATTACAATTATACATCTTCTTCAATTTTGGCTTTTTTCATTGGAGGGTTGTTAGATCCTGACGCTCCTTGAGGTGTCGTACCTTCCTCGACTACTTCGGTAGAACCGGAGGACTGCCCTATTGGTTCCACTTTTACACTTTCCACCTGCATTTCCGTAGGTTCTAAAAAAAAAATTTTTTAATTGAGTGAAAGTAACGAATATTTTCAATAGCTTCAATAAAGACTCACCATTATCGGATGGTTTAGCGGTCGACTCCTGAGTTGTTTTCCCCTGTTCCTCGGTATCTTCTTCTTCTCTGGCACGTTTTCGCACTGCAGACACCTCTAGAACGACTGTTTGTTTTACTTCTGTTGCTGCGGATTCTTCTCTTTTAACCACTTCAGTAGTTCCAGAAGTAACTTGTGGTTGATTAGTTTGAGCTAATTTTTGTTCTTCAACTGTTGTCGCAGATGTAGATTGATATGGTGTTGTGCGAGGTGACGTTGGCTGTGTTAATAACCCACGATTCCTCTGTAATTTAACTGGTGGTCTCTCTCTTGGTGTATTTAACGTATTTGATGTGGCAACGGTGGCAGTAGTAGGCGCAGGACTGTTAGTCGTTGCTGTAGTAGTTGTAGTTATATTGGTCGCTGTTGAACCCGTCGTTGTTGCTGCACCTACCGTTCCATCGCTTACATTCACTGATTGAGTAGCATCTGACTGTTCAGAAGCAGGAGGATTAACTGGTGATTTGGGTATTTCTTTATCTCTTACATTACCAGCTGACACGTTAGATGAATTTTCCGGTTGTGCAACATTCTCTAAATTTCCAGACTCTGATTGTTGTGAAACAGGTGTTTCCTTTACAACTTTAGGTAATGGATCTGAGATTTTTGGAGTTGGCGGCTTTGCGACAACTTGGGGTAAATCTGGGTGAATTTCAGGTGCCGAGGGAACAGATGGTGTCACTTCTATTTGCATCTCGGTCGCAGAATTCGCGTCAGATAAACTTTGACCGCTCTCAATCGATTTCTTTGTGTTATCAGATTGTAGTTGTTGAACTTGAGTTTTCAAGTC